AAATGTGTTTTTTTCCCTTGCTTTTCATTTTAGAAATGCTTTTTTTTCGACATATTAATTTATAAATATAACAATATAAGTGGATCGGAAGGAATAGCTTGTTAAAAAGAAGAAAAAGTGTTGGAAGGAAAATATTCATTTTATTGTTTTTCATTTTAAAAATGTTTTTATAAAATTATAAATAAGTAGACTTTATGAAATCATGTGTTGATGGTTCGTTTTAATAATTATACTATTAAAATGTTAATTTTAATCCATATATTTTTAATATGTTAGTTTTAATTTCTATACATTTAAAAATCAATGGTATTATTAGGGAAATTGTATTGGGTAGTCAAATTTTTATACATATTTACAAAAATGTCAACCACTTTTGTACTTTGTAAATATGGCAAAATATTTGAATTTTTATTATTCCAGTTTTACCCTTATGATATCTGATATATACCTGATTGATGTATATCTGATATACTTTCGATCTACATCTGATGTACATCCGATGTATCTCTGATATACATCAGATGTACGTATTATATATCTAATATACATCTGATGTATCTCTAATTTATGATATATTAAATATATTTGTAATGATATACCTATGTATATCTTATCTGATATATATCTGATATATCTTTAATGTACCTTTGATGTACATATGATATATATCAGTGGCATACTAAATATATTTGTAACTGATATATGATATACATCAGTAGATCACATGTGCATCAATGTTAGATATCAGTAGATCTCATGGTTATATCAATAGTAAATTATAGACATATTAAGTATATATCATAAATGCATCAAAGTTATATTAGTGGTAAATTATATAATCATACGAGAAGTTACATTAGTATATATCATAGTTATATTAATGGTAAATTAAAAACATATCAAGTATATATCACAGATATATAAGTGTTATATCAACATGATAAATCAATAGTAAATTATATAATCATACAAAAACTTATATCAGTGGAAATCATAGTTATATCAGTGGTAGACCATATTATAAGTTATATTGGTAGATATCATTGATATATCAGAAGTAAATAAATTGTATGTCAATATTATATTAGTGGTATATTAAAGACATATCAATAATATATTACACATATATTAGTGGTAAATCAATAAATAGTAAATAATATAATCATATCAGAAGTTATATTAGTAGATATCATAATCATATCAATAATATATCAATTGTACTACATCAGTAGTAAATAAAATGTATATCAAGTATATATCAAATAGATATATATATATATATATATATATATATATATATATATATACCAGCACTATATCAATGGTATATCAATGCTACGAGGATAAATTTGACATTTTATTATTAAACCTCCGTTTTTTCTAAAATTTTTGATATATTTACTAATCTAAAATGTAAATGCTAAATTTATTATTTCCTTCTTTTTTTTTTGCCATATCTACAATTGCCCTTTATTATTATTATTTTATTATAATTTAAACACGCCACCACATTTTATATATTTATTGAAATGTAGTTTTCTTATATATAATTTATATTAAAATTTTATCGAATGATTACTTTTTATAAATAAGATATTGGATCGAAAGTTCTGAAAATACCTGAACTAAAATTAACCAAAAAGAAAAAAAAAAAACCACGAACCAAACTATATATTTTTAGACAGGGAATAAAACGACCAAAAGCATCACAAATAAAAAGGCAAAAGCCGAAAACACACGACGAAAATAATATTTGAATGATATTATTATTTTTAATGTTAATTTCCTCATCGGATGGTATCGGAGATTGGACTTCTTTTTCCAAGTTTGAATATATTCCGATAAGTCGCGCGGATCTATAAATACCAGAAACAAAAAGAGCACCCAAGAAGATGTTTAATCGTAGAGAAGGATCTCAACGAAAGCCCTGAAAAAGTTGAAGAACCGCAAAATTCCCTCGTCTTCTTCATACTCGGTTTGTCGTTCATTTCCCGCCAAATCAATGAATTCTCACCTTCTCTTGTTCTTGGAATCATGATCAGTTCTTCGGTTTCTTCTTCATATGTCTCCTTCGTCCTCATCTTCGTTCCCATCTTTATCTCTATCTCTCTCTTCCAATTCAAACCCTCTTCCGATCCTATTGTATATCAAACCCTAACCCGAAACTACTCGTCGGTCGATCCATTTACCTCCAAGAACCTCAGTGACGGGAACCAAGTCTCGCGGAAGAACTACATTGTTCGCTTCGTCCAATACAGGGAGGCGAAGGAGCACCGGTCCTATCTGGAATCGCGTATTAGATCGGGTCTCTGGGAATGGATCGAGAGGAAGAACCCTGCGTCTAAGTATCCAACCGAGTTTGGCTTGGTTTCTATTGAGGACTCGGCGAGAGGGGAGTTGATTAAGGATATTGAGGAATTAGAGCTCGTCAAGGATGTGAATGTGGATGCAAGCTACGTGAGGGACGTGCTAACGGAGAATGGGGGTAGAGTCGGGGCTTTTGTAGACGGGAAGAAGCGTCCGGGGAAGATTTTCACCTCCATGTCGTTTAAGGAAGGAGGCGGGGAACGTTATACTGCAATTAGCAATGCCTCTAATAGATGGGGACGGCATCTGTCGATGCAGGTAAATTTCCTTTCAATGACCGATTTATTTTTTCTTTTGATATATTTGGCTTTGGACAATTGACTATGAGGAAAAGGGGGCTGCAGGGGCGACTTCCGGTGTCTCATATAATGAAATTGGATTTATCATATGTAGAGCTCTTGTTCAGTAAATTGATTTATGTATTATTTATTTTTAATGCAACACAGAATTAGCCATTTCAATGTTATAAGCTAAATTTCAATCGAAACTACTGTGATGCATATCTTCTTGTATGCATGTTGAATATTTCAATTTGGTAAAATCAAATGAACTAAGGAGAGAAGTTTCCCATTCATTTCCTGTTTTAATTTTGTGTACTAGTTTATTTTCACTGAGAAACAATTCGTGATTTCAGAGATCCCAAGTTACGTCATTGTTTGGAGCAGAATCTCTTTGGGCAAAGGGGTATACCGGTTCTAAAGTCAGAATGGCTATATTTGATACTGGTATTCGTGCCAATCACCCACATTTTAGGAATATCAAGGTAATAAATATTAGGATTTGTTTAATTTAATGTGTCTTTTGTTTAATTATTAGATCAGAATAATTTTTCCACCCATAGAGATACATTTCACATGATAGATTTTGAATTTTGAGTAATTTTCAGGAGCGAACAAATTGGACCAATGAAGATACTTTAAATGATAATCTTGGGCATGGGACATTTGTTGCCGGTGTCATTGCAGGTGGAGATGAAGAGTGTCTAGGGTTTGCTCCAGATACTGAAATATATGCTTTTCGTGTGTTTACAGATGCACAGGTAATGCACAATGATCATTACTCAATTGTAATATGTTTATTAGATCTTTTTACTTCAAATTAGTGTTTTATCAATTTACCTTAGTTTATCTTCAAACACAGTGGAAGGATTATGGAAGTTTTTTGTTTCTTATCCATCCAAAAGAAGGATTATGAAAAGTATGTATTCAGCCTATTGCAGGTCTCATACACTTCATGGTTCCTTGATGCATTCAACTACGCTATTGCTACCAATATGGATGTATTGAATTTAAGCATTGGTGGACCAGATTACTTAGATCTTCCATTTGTGGAGAAGGTAAGATTTCTTTTTTCTGCTGATTGCAATTGGTGGTCTGGCAAAATAAGTTATGAACTTGAAAAGAATATCACTTAATTTTATTTGGTTTGAGGTTGATCAATTGCTGTATATGTCTCGTTTGAACAAACATTTCCTACATGTATGTTTTCTATTAAATTATTTATACCTTTTTTCAGGTTAGATGTTGCCAGACATGTGTTACAAAGAGCATTAGATAAATGAAATGTGTGTCATCTTTGGGATACTGTCAATTATTTTTTCATGATATATAATACAGTTCTTGGACTACCTACAGTCTGGTAGTCTTATTAATCTTGTCTTAACATGATCATTGGTGAATATGTTGTTGAGGACTTCCTCGTGTGAAATAATTTTATACTTTATGAAGTTTCAACTTAAAATTCACTAGCTTGTTGAAGCTGTTTTTGGTTTTGTAAATTATGGCCACTCGTTTGTATCTCTAGTTTTAACTTTTGGGTTTCTGGTTGCAACCTATTGATAGGTGAGAGGTCTATAGTCAGAATCCATGCATCAGAAATGATTCTTTCTAATCAATTGAATGTCTATACATTAGGCTTCACATAATCATGCTAAGAGTAACTGCAAGCTGATAAGTGCAAAGAAATTATGATAGCATCAAAGTATATTTAACTGCTATTTGTCTACCAGATTTGGGAGATCACGGCAAATAATATCATCATGGTTTCTGCAATTGGAAATGATGGACCACTCTATGGGACTTTGAACAATCCTGCAGATCAGAGTGATGTAATTGGCGTTGGTGGTATTGACTATAATGATCATATTGCTTCATTTTCCTCCCGTGGCATGACTACTTGGGAGATGCCTCATGGGTAAATTACGCTTTACTTGGGATCTTTCAGTATTTTGTTCCTATCTTTCATAAGATATCTTGAGATATTAGGTAGAAAGTTTGTCTCCTTTCTGAGATTGGAGTTTGGCCTTGGATAAAGTATGTGTCGGATGCATTAAAATACAAATTTAAGCACTTACTGTTTTTAACTTGTGCAAGTCAGACCAAAGTCTTGTTAAAGATAAAATGGATTTATTTTAACATAATACTACTTTCCCTTATTTTCCTTCCTTTTTCTGTCTACCCATATCGGCACTCTCAAACATGTTATTTGGTACAGTTATGGTCGTGTGAAGCCAGATGTTGTTGCATATGGTCGGGAAATTATGGGATCCAAAATTAGTACTGGGTGCAAAAGTTTATCAGGCACTAGTGTGGCGAGCCCTGTGGTTGCTGGTGTGGTATGTCTACTTGTTAGTGTCATCCCTGAAAGCCAGCGGGAGAATATTTTAAATCCAGCTAGCATGAAACAAGCACTTGTTGAGGGAGCTGCAAAGCTTGCTGGTCCCAATGTGTACGAGCAAGGTGCTGGCAGGGTTGATCTGTAGGTTTCAGCTCTCATTGCTGTTGTTATTTATCTAGCTTGCCTCAAGAGTATTTTCTTATTCCTCTGAATTTTCCCAGGTTAGAATCGTACGAAATACTTAAGAGCTACCAACCCCGGGCAAGCATCTTCCCTAATGTTCTTGACTATACCGATTGCCCTTATATGTGGCCCTTTTGTCGCCAACCACTTTATGCAGGTGCAATGCCTATTATCTTCAATGCTACCATTTTGAATGGGATGGGTGTAATTGGCTATGTTGAAGGTCAACCAACTTGGCATCCTTCGGATGAAGAAGGAAATCTTTTAAGCATTCACTTCACTTATTCTCAAGTCATCTGGCCTTGGACTGGTTATATTGCACTTCACATGCAAATTAAGGAAGAAGGTGCACAGTTTTCTGGAGAAATTGAAGGCAATGTGACTCTAACAGTATATAGTCCTCCATCTAGTGGAGAGAAAAACCGCCGGACTAGTACCTGTGTGCTACATCTGAAGTTAAAAGTGGTTCCGACACCTCCAAGGTCAAAACGTATTTTATGGGATCAATTTCATAGTATCAAATATCCTCCTGGTTATATTCCTAGAGATTCCTTGGATGTACGCAATGACATTCTGGACTGGCATGGAGACCACCTGCATACAAATTTTCATATCATGTTTAATATGTTGAGAGATGCTGGGTACTATGTTGAAACGCTGGGTTCTCCTCTTACATGCTTTGATTCTCTCCAATATGGCACACTTCTACTAGTGGATCTAGAAGATGAGTACTTCAAAGAGGAAATTGAAAAGTTGAGGGACGATGTTATGGTTACTGGATTGGGATTAGCTGTGTTTTCTGAATGGTATAATGTAGAAACAATGGTAAAGATGAGGTTCTTTGATGATAACACAAGGAGCTGGTGGACTCCAGTTACTGGAGGTGCAAATATTCCTGCATTAAATGACCTTTTAGCCCCATTTGGTATTGCTTTTGGGGATAAGATTTTGAACGGTGATTTTTCTATTGACGGTGAACAGAGTCGATATGCATCGGGAACAGATATTGTGAGGTTTCCACGAGGTGGTTATGTGCATAGTTTCCCTTTCATTGATAGCTCAGAGAGTGGGGCAGCGCAGAACATACTAACCTCTGGCATGACTAAGGTAACTGCCACAAGCTTCTCTATGAACTCTTTTTAAATAATTTTTGTGGTGACCACAAATTGTTGCAAATTCGACTAATGGTCCAGTTTCCTATTTTGGAAGCTTAAATAATTGTGGACAACTCTGTACTTTAGTTGAAGAAGATACTTATACATTTCATATCTTGCACCAGACGGAATTAGTAAATTGTTGGAGCAGCATGCCTATTATAACTTGCTGGTGCATAAATGTATTACTTGAGAAGATAGTTTCTTGACTCTGGTGAAAGGTGCACGAGACCACACAAGAATTTCCAATCTTCATTTTCCTTTATGCATTAATTGGAAATCTTATGAGTTGAGAATATTTAAATATCTAAATATCTGAAAGTTGTTGGGAAGAATGTATCTAAATGTTCGAATTATATTTATAGGCTTTTTTGGTAACATTCTTGACATTTAAGAGCCTTCCAAGGGAAGGTGTACGTTTTCATGAGGCTATTGTCATCTCTTTAATAGGATTAAACTAACTGTTTATTGACAAATGTAGGCAGACTTTCCAATTCTTGGTCTATTGGAGGAGGTGGGAGAGGGCCGCATTGCAGTCTATGGAGATTCAAATTGTCTGGATAGCAGCCATATGGTTACAAATTGCTATTGGCTTCTGAGAAAAATATTAGATTTTACCAGTGGAAACATTAGAGATCCGGTGCTCTTCACTAAGTCTTCAAAACTAGATTCACCTCTGTATCTAGAAGATAACAAACTACCATCTCGAAGAAGTGATGTAAATTTCTCTATGTATTCTGTTGTTGTTGGAAAGGAGTTGATATGCAGGAGTGATTCTAGGTTTGATACATGGGGGACCAAGGGATACAATATACAGGTCAGAGGAAGAAATAGAAGGTTGCCCGGATTTCCCATAATTGATTTGGGAAGAGGCTTGAATTCTACATCAGAAACTTCTTCGATGAGACCTCCCAAGTTGACTTCAGAAAACCGAAGTGATTCATATGGAAACCGATACTTAAACCTGTTCTACGGGGACGAGGTGAGAGTTCTTTCCCAATGAGTTGAGACTTAAATTACAATATTATTTCATCAATATGATTCTTGTAATTTCCTGTTCATTGTTCTTGCTTACAGCCTGACATGCCTTTGATTGTACCTAATCATTGGCTTGTTCCTGCCGTAGTTGCAGTGACAGGTGAGTGATATATTCTCTTGTTGCTGCTGAATTTGATTTCCTCTTTCAAAGTTTATACTTGGTTTCGATGCTTTTTAGGGCTTTTGCTCCTTTTGAGTTTTTGGCGGATCAGACAGAGGCGGCGACGGAGACGAAGAGGATCTGGATCTGCACGTTTTCCCAATCTATAGTTGGGGGAGTAATTTTGATGTAGTTTTCAAAGGAATATACTTCCATGAAGGAATTTTGCTGTAAAATTTAGACGAGTAAATGTTGTTTAACATCATAGTAATAGATGTGTTACAATGGATAGTTGAAAATTTGAGGGTGATTCCCTCTGTTCTTACACACAACACAGACCAATTTTGAAGAAGCAATTACTGTATCATTTACCGCTGGTTCCTAAGATCCCAGGTGGCAAGATTATAATTTCAAAACAACTACCAATTGGTTACAATTTGAAAATAGTTGAAAAGCTTTCACTCTTGGTTCACTTGGATAATCTTAGTTTTCAAAGTTATTTTACAAGTTAGAGTTGGAAAATTTTAATGCTAATGAATGCCATTGCCCTTCATAGACGAATTAGATTCAAATTGCAATGTAAAGAACAAATAAAAGAATCGAAATCTATCTTATAACTTGTTTTGTGTAGACAAAAATCTTATCCAATCTTTGTCTGAATGCTCTTACATTTTACAAAGCCAAATACAGATGAAAGAATTCCTATAATCCAAAAACTCATCCAAGAGAAGAGAAAGAAGAAGAAAGGTGTGGATTGTACACATTGCAGAGTGATGCTTAATCACGAGCTTCCGCTAAAACCTCCACTTTCTTTCTTCATCGTTCTCATCTCCATTTCCCGGGTGGTTTGGCCGTCGCCGCTCGACCCCGATGGATACAGACCGTACTCACTCGTCGGCTCGCTGTACTCACTGCCGGCGCCGTACTCCTGGCTCGCCAATGCCATCTTCCTGAACTTCTTCAGGTCCTCGTTGTACTGAGCCGTGTCGTAGTCGGAGCTGTAGACGGTGCTATGTCCGGGCCGGATTCCTTCGTTAAGATCAGAAAGCGACGACTCACCTTCCAGAGCATGAACCACCTGACTCATCCGTGGCCGGCGCCTCGCCGAATGACGCACACAGGCGGCGGCGCAAGCAACCATGCGACCCATCTCGTTGTGGTCGTACTCGTCTCGCAGCCTTGGATCTATCAGACCGTCGTAGTTTCCTTCTTCTGTGGCCCGAAGCAGTAGAGGCCTTGCCTGAAACCACAAGTTAGGGCTGATTTAGCTTTCCGATTACAGCAAATAATGAACAATTCTTCTCGCGGAGATGTTGAATTTCAACAGTAATGGCTAATTGGCTTATGGCTTACCCAATCGAGCAATCCATCGTCCATGAAGGATTGAGTTGTGTCCACAGGTCTGCGTCCGGTAATCAACTCCAGAAGCATCACTCCGAAGGAGAAGACATCTGATTTTTCGGTAAGTTTCCCACTTGAAGCGTATTCAGGAGCAAGATATCTGTAAGAAATAAGCATGATATCAAATTCAGGAATTCAGGAACATGAAATTGTCACGAAATCATCCCTCCTATTAGTTTTGCATGAATTCGAATATGGTCAAGGAGGCCATACCCGAAAGTTCCCATGACTCGGGTTGAAACATGGGTATTAACATCAGAAGATAACTTGGCAAGCCCAAAATCTGCGACCTGGAAAAAGAAATCAGATTCACTATATCAGGAACAAACCCATTTAAAATCGCAGTTATGAGAACTAGGGAAGAGAATAAATCTAATTTACTCCCAATTGGATGGAAACTTGAACAGAGTCGACTTTCTAGATTCAAATTCAAGAATTCAGAAAGCTCCCATTATTACCTTGGCTTCGAATTTGAGATCCAAAAGTATATTTGCTGCTTTGATGTCACGATGAATGATCTTAGGATTACCTGCACATCACATCACATGTAAGTCACAAGACTCTTCTTCAATACATGAATTGTACAAACCCAGAAGTCATCTCTTCACATTCAGAAACACAAAATACTTACAGTCCTCATGAAGGTAAGCCAATCCCTTGGCAGATCCCAGAGCAATTTTCAGTCTTGTTGGCCAATCCATGGTAGGTCGTCCTTTCCCTGCAAAATGTGAGTTATCTATAAGTTTAAGATCCTTCAATCTCCCATCAACAAAACCAAACCACATCAGAGCCGATTGAGAATCATAACATACCGTGCAAATGGAACTCCAAAGTGTTATTCGGAACAAATTCATAAACCAGCAATCTTTTGGAGCCGGTGATGCAATATCCCACCAAGGAAACAAGATGTCTGTGATGAACTCGGCTGATTATTTCAACTTCTGCTTGAAATTCTCGCTCTCCCTGCCCACTTCCAGCTTTAAGTTGCTTCACTGCCACTTCCTTCCCGTTTGGAAGGACTCCTCTGTGCACATAACCAAACCCACCTTGTCCAAGGAGATTAGCCTCCGAGAATCCATCCGTCGCCATTGCTAATTCTTCATAAGTAAAACTGCTCTGTGAGAAGCCCAAGGTAATGCCAGATGGGGCAGGAGCCAGCGAATTTTCAGACCCTGAATAGTTAGATCCAGACCCTCCGCTGCTGCTTATAATCGGAGGTGACGGCGGTGGCCGTAATGCTGGTGGAGGAGACGGCTTTGGAATTGCCCCTACGACAT